CTTGTCTTTGTGCACCCCACTTCTCAGCTAAAAGACCCCAGAAATCCTCTGCTCTGGCTTTCATCCCTGCTACCTCTCGACTCAGTGGGCTGAAATGTTGCAGGATATCAGATTCTAGGAGGGATGAGGACAAGGCCCAGACTCTTACTTCCTATTTGTCTGAGAATGTTGTGTTCTTGGTGCATTATCTGAGAACTGCATGCAAAAGGGGGAAGACCTTGGTTAGCCAAGGTCATTCAGAGCCCTGTCTCCCTGCTGTGCTGACTTGATTAATACTAGAAACGACCCTACTTACATGTAGACTAAATGTAACAATAATACTGGGATGGTTGATAATAGGTGTCAACCTGGTTGGATTGAAAGATGCGTAGACAGCTGTTTCTGGAAGTATCTGTGAGGGTATGGCCTTCTGGTTTCCTTCTATTTCCTGTGCTGGATGCCTCCTTCCACTCCTCCCGCCCTTGGACATCAGACTTCAGGTTCTTTGGCCTTCGTGCTCTGGGACTTGCACCAGTGGTTTGCCCGAGACTGTAGGGTCTCCAGCCACAGGCTGGAGACTGCACTCTGGTCTTCCCTGGTTTTGACACTTTCGGATTATGACTGAGCCACTACAAGCTTCTGTCTTCCCCAACTTGCAGACGGCCTATCGTGGGACTTCGCCTTGTAATTATGTGAGACAATTCTCCCTAATAGATTCCCTGTCATGTATACATATATCCATTAGCTCTATCCTCGGGAGAACGCTAACCAATACCAATGCTTATTGATGTAACTGTTAAAGTAAAATGCATCATTAATAAAACAATAAAGTTGCTCTTAATGCAAAAATAGCTTATGGCACTTCCGTTTTTAATTTTCAATTAGTTATAATAAAATAAACTTAAAAAATTAGTTCATCAGCTACCTTTGCAATATTTCAAGTTCTCAGTAATCATACCTAGCTACTGGCTACCATACTGAACATACGCTTTCAGACCTTTAAGAGTTCCCCTGATTTCCACCATCCTGCTTGTGTTACAGCATTGTTTTTGATTTAATGTCTCAGCTTGCGAGAGCAGCTTCAGAGACTTCCACTCGACTTTCCTCACGATGATAACACACTTCACAGTCCAAGGCTGAACGTGATGATACATGATATTACAACGGCCAACTCTGTAAGGAAGTCATTACAAGAATTTCAAATGTTCTTAGTTATACTAGTAGTCATTACATTAATTTTTTCATTAAAATTTTTAAAAATTTCTTTTTTTTTGAGAGAGGATCTTGCTCTGTTGCCAGGTTGAAGTGTGGTAGCACAATCAGGGCTTGACACAGACTCGGCTACCAGTGCTCAGGGGATCCTCCCACGTCAGGCTCCCAAGTAGCTGGAACCCCAGACATGCCATCACACCAGTTAATTTTTGTATTATTAGAAGAAACAGGGTTTTGCCATGTTGCTCAGGCTAGTCTCAAACACTTGAGCTGAAGCAATTTGCCTGCTGCAGCCTCCCAAAGTGCTGAGATTACAGGTGTGAGCCACTGCACCTGGCCACATTTTAAAAATTTATTTTTAAATTTTGTGCATACATAGTTTGCATTTATTTTAATGGGGCACATGAGATGTTTTAATAAAGACATGTAGTGCACACTATTCACATCATGGAAAATGGGGCATCCATCCCTTCAAGCATTTATCCTTTGTGTTATAAACAATTCAATTATATTCTTTCAGTTATTTAAAAATGTACAATTGTTGTATTGGATCGAGCGTAGAAAGCTAGCACCAAGACAAAAGTATGCCAGATTGCAGGGTCATTTATTATGCCGGTGACCACAGAGGACTCACGTCTCTCCAACCTGTGGCGTCAAAAGGAGGGTGCCAAGGCTTTTTATACCCGAAAAACCACCTTGGGAGTGGGGGTGAGGAGCAGGGATGGGGATGAAAAGGTTTCGGACATTCCAAGGGCCAGGGGACTTTTGTCATTCTGTTTGTCACTTCAGTGGTTTACAGAAGTCAAGATAAGCATTTGTTTACACACAGATCTTAGTTATCCTGGGCTGCTTATTTTAGTTATTACTAAATAACTAAAGCAAAGGCTAGCAATTCTGGCACAATATCACACAATAAATTGTCCTTTCTAGGGACATGGATGAATCTGGAAACCATTATCCCCAACAAACTGACACAAGAACAGAAAAACACTACATGTTCTTACTCATAGGCCGGTGTTGAACAATGAGAACACATGGACACAGGGAGGGGAGCATCACATACTAGGGTCTGTTGTGGGGTGGGGAGCTAAGAGAGGGACAGCAGTGGGTGGGGAGGATGGGGAGGGATAACATGGGGAGAAATGCCAGACAGAGGTAACAGGGGGATGGAGGCAGCAAACCACCTTGCCATGTATGTACCTATGCAACAATCCTGCATGATCTGCACATGTACCCCAGAATCCAAAGTACAATAAAAAAAAAGGACAATAAAATTATTGACTATAAGTCACTCTGTTGTGCTATCAAAGCCAGATCTCATTCATTCTTTCTAACTGCGTTTCTTTGTACCCATCTGCCATCTCCATCTGTCTTCCCCCTCCACTAACCTTCCCAGCCTCGGGTAACCATCATTCTACTTTCAATGTCCATGAGTTCAATTGTTTTGATTTTTAGATCCCACAAATAAATGAGAACACGCAATGTTTGTCTTTCTGTGCCTGGATTATCTCACTTAGGATAATGACCTGTTACATATGAATTCGATTTGCTAGTTAAGGATTTTTGCATCAATATTTATTAGGAGTATGGGGCTGTAATTCTCTCTGTCTCTCTCTGTCTCTCTCTGTCTCTCTCTGTCTCTCTCTCTCTCTCTCTCTCTGTGTGTGTGTGTGTGTGTGTGTGTGTGTGTGTGTCCTAGTTTGGTTTTGGTGTTAGGGTAATAGCACCTTTGTAGGATGAGTTGCTCCCTTCAAGGCCACAAGTTCCCTCTGGCCACAGGCGTGTCAAGGGGTGCCATCTAGGAGCCAGGGACTGGAGTCAGAAACCTTAGAAGTCTACTTAAGTTGGCATTCAAGCCGCAAGAAGCAGTTTTTCCCACTTTCTCCTTCCCTTTCCATATGCAGAGGAACCTCATCTCATGGTCACCAGCACCTTCCAGGTTACTGCTGATATTCCCTTAGGCCCAAGGGCTCTCAGTCAGCGTGCAGTGAATGCTGTTTTGCCTGGGACTAACCCTTCAGGGCAGTGGGCTCCCCTCTGGCCCAGGGTGGGTCCAGAAATGCCATCAAAGAGTAATTCCCTGGAATCAGGAACCTCAAGGGACTGCCTGGTGAACTCCCACCCCTGTGGCTGAGCTGTTACCTAAAGTGCGAGAGAAAGCCCCTTTTCTTTTTCCTTTGTTTTTCTCAAGCAGGCAGAGGTTTGACCTGCCACCACTACAGCTGGAAATGTCCTGAGTCTCACTTGAAGCCAGCAGAGTCTTTTCCAAGGCCCTCAATGCAGTGCCTGGATATCACTGATGGTTACTCAGGCAGGGCCCAAGGGCTCTTCAGTTAGCAGGCAATAAATGCTAGCATTACTGGCTTCTTTCCTCCAAGGAAATGGGTTCTCTTCTTGCCCAGGGTGTGTATAGAAATGTCGTCTGGGAGGGAGTACCTGGAATAAGGGCCTCACAGCTTTGACCAGTGCATTATCTTGCTGTGGCTGAGCTGGTATCCAAGATGCAAAACAAAGTCCTCTCCACTCTTTCCTCTTCTCACATAGAAGAACTCTTTTGGAGCCACGAGCTGTGCAGCCTGAGGTTAGGCAAGGGCAATGTCAGCACAACCTTAGTTGCCCTAGCTGGTGTCTCAGTAGTTCATGTGCCCCCCACCCACAGTCCACTATCTGTGCGCCCAGTTCAGCACTAGGACTCACCTAAGAGTTGCAGTACTTATGGTGTAGACGGCCTTTTAAGTTTGCTTACAGTCTCAGAGCATTTTAGCTCTCGTGTCAAGATTTGTGGAAACTCAAGTTTTGACCTCTGGGATCAATAATTCCCCTCTGACTAGGGCTGGTTTAAATGCTCTGTCTGTGGCCAGGCATCAGCTGAATTTTATCTGGTTTTCCTTTCTGCTCTAACAGGACAGAAATGCCTCACAATTGCTGTGTTCTCCCTCCGCACAGCCCAGAGACACTCTTAGCACCATGTTGTTGCTGTCAGTGGTGAAGGAGGGTGGCATTGTCTCTTTAAGTTGTTTTTTCTGTCTTTTCAGTGCCTCTTCAGTGAAATAAAGTCAAAATCAGATACGTGAACTCAGTGGAGGCTTCTGTTCCACCATCTTGATCTGCCTTCAGATTCTGGTTGTTAATATAAGGATTAGTAAGTAATAAAAGTAGACTTGATACAGATGTACATTGTGCAGCCAAACCAAATAGATATTTTATGTGAATTCATTAAAATATTTAGTTTTATTAATATAAAGAGCATACATATATATGTGTATGTATATATGCGTTTCTAGGAAATATTTTATGTAGACATAAAACTTCATTGAAGAAAGTGCTGACACTAACTCCCCACTTTTAAATGCTTGGGGATCAAGTAAAGAAGAATCAGTATTAAAATAGTCATTCTTGGGTTTGAGGATTGGTAAAACTAAAAACAAGTACTAATAGGTAATTAATTTGTGAGCAAAGAAGCATCTCTCCAAAAACAGAAGATCAATTCCAACCTTTGCTCTCTGATACAGCAAATGAATTTCAGACTTATACCTGGCTTCAAAAGTAAGCATCCCAAAATCAAGTACCACTCCTGGATGACTACTAATAATATAACTGACATTCACAGGGATTAAGCCACTTACACTAATGTCCAAATCTAGCTTAGTTTACAAATTATGTATATGTAATAATATACTAAATAGATAAATTGGAAAAGAGGTAGAAAAATATTAATATACATTATCAGAAATAGAATAATGTAAGAGATTCCAGTTTCTTTGAATAAGTGCTGACCACAGTGGGCACTCGAAAGGATTCTGGTAAAGTCATATTAACTTCCTTTTCTTCAGTACCTTCTGTAGTGCCCTGAACACCTCTTTGTTGCGGATACTGTAAATGAGAGGGTTCAGCATAGGGGTGAGAATAGTGTAGAAGGCCGACACCATCTTGTCCTGGTCTGGTGCATGTTTACAAGCTGGTCTCATGTACATGAACATAGCAGCGCCATAGTAGAGTCCGACCACAGACAGGTGGGAGGAGCAGGTAGTGAAGGCTTTGCGGCGACTTTCCCCAGAGCCCATGTGGATGACGGTTCGAAGGACACGGGAATAGGATAGTATGATAACTGAAACTGGAAAGATCAGCATTACCACACAACAAACAAAAAGTAGTTTTTCAAATGCAGATGTTTCTGTGCAGGATAGAGGTAAAAGGGCAGCAACGTCACAGAAAAAGTGATGAATTTCCAGAGATCTGCAGTAAGAAAATGACAGGACAGCTACAAGCACTATAATGCCGTCAACAGACCCCAAGGTCCAGGAAGCAACAGTCATGAAGACGCAGAGTTTCTGATTCATGAGGATGGTGTATCGAAGAGGGTGACATATAGCCACATAGCGGTCGTAAGCCATGACAGCCAACAAGAAACATTCAGCTCCAAGCAGGGACACATAGAAGAATATCTGAGTTCCACAACCTGCCAGAGAGATAGATTTCTTCCCAGACAAGTAGTTAAAGGCCATCTTGGGTAGAGTGGTGCAGATGAGCATGAGGTCCATGAGGGACAGCTGACTGAGGAGGAAGTACATGGGGGTGTGGAGCTGTTTGTCTAAGTAGATGAGGAGAACCATGGCAATATTTTCCGTGAAGGCCGCTGTGAAGATGCCCAGGACCAGAGAAAAAAGGAAGGTGTGGGTGGGGCTGTGTTCAAAGATTCCCAGCAGGATGAAGACAGAGTTGAAGGTCTGATTTTCCCACACCATCCTGAACAATTTGCCTTATCTGAAATTCCAGAGATGGTACAAGCTGATTTATTGATTCAATTTTCAAATACATACTGTGACATACTCTACTGGGCAGTTTATATGCATGCATAAGGACTTCTCACCAACCTTCAGTTACCTTCCTTCAGTCATGGTAAATTGTGTGACTTAGTCCAGCGCTTTTACAATTATTTCCTCATCCAACTTTCACAGAGTATACATGAATTGCATATGGACATTTATTATACAGGCTAGAATACTGAAGTTTGTAAGAGTGTCCCAACTTACCCACATGTACAGTTAATATAAAACCAAAGAGAAAATAATTATATATCTCTATTACTAAACTTTAGGATCATCCCTGATAAAAGAAAACTCCTTCTAGAATTTTTTCTCCTTCTGTCCTAATGTCTCCAGTTTAGTAGTCTCATCAACAACAGAATTGTTCTCATGTTTGTTTGTTTGTTTGTTTTCCTACCATCCTACCTGCAGCCCAATGAAGGAGTATATAAGATCAATGACATTACTCCTTGGGGACACCTGTACACTTTAATTCAGAGAAGAGTATAGTACTCTATATTTTAACTTTTCCATCTCAGACCAAGTCTTGAAGTCTCGTCTTACTTAATCAAAATGCACATTAAAATATTTCTCTAAGGAAAAATAAATCATCCACTTAATTTCTGAGAATAGTTTTGCTTCTTCCAATTCTATGTGGAAAGAAGCTGCATTTTTTGTTTGTTTATTTGCTTGATTTGTTTGTATTTTTAATTTTATTAAGTTAATACATTATAGTTGTACATATTTATTGGGCACATTTTGACATTTCAAAACATAGATTTTGCATAGTGATCAAATCAGGGTATTTAGTATGACCATCACTTCATGCATTTATCATTTTTGCTTGTAGTAAGGACATTAAAAAACCTTGGTATTTTTGAAAAAATTGATTTCTTCTTATTACAATAAAGTCTTATAAATCAAATCAGATAAACATCTAGGGGACAAAAGAAAACCCTTTTGTGGCCTTTAAAAGCTTCACTGTAATGTGCTACTTTGGAGACTTATGGGGCATGTTCTACCACAGCGAGTAAAGGCTCAACTGTATGAAATACCAGGCTCATCTTGTGCCGGGTTTCAAAGGGAATGCTTCCAGATTTTGCTTGTTCAGTATAATATTGGCTGTGAGTCTGTCATAAATAGCTCTTATTATTCTGATATATGTTCTGTTGATACCTAGTTTATTGAGAGTTTTTAACATGAAGAGATGTTGATTTTTATCTAAGGCCTTTTCTGTGTCATTGAGATAAACATGTGCTTGTCATCATTGATTCTGTTTATGTGATGAATTACGTTTATCGATTAGTGTATGTTGAACCAGCCCTAAATCCCAGATATGAAGCCAACTTGATTGTGGTGGATAATATTTTTGATGGGCTGCTGGATTCCGTTTGCCAGTATTTCACTGAGGATTTCAACAGGGATATTGGACTGAAGTTTTCTCCTTTTATTGTATCTCTGCCAGGTTTTGGGATCAGGATGATGCTGGCCTCATAAATGAGTTAGGAAGAAGTTCCACTTTTTCAGTTGTTTGGAATAGTTTCAGAAGGAGTTGGACCAGCTCCTATTTGTACCTCTGGTAGGTTTCTGTTGTGAATCCATCTGGTCCTGGGCTTTTTTTCGTTGGCAGGCCATTTAGTACCGCCTCAGCTTCAGAACTTGTTACTGGTCTATTCAAGGATTCAACTTCTTGCTGATTTAGTCTTAGGAGGGTGTATATATCCAGGAAATTATCCATTTTTTTCTAGATTTTCTAGTTTATTTGCATAGAGGTGTTAATAGTATTCTCAGATGGTACTTTGTATTTCTGTGGGGTCAGTGGTGATATCCCTTTATCCTTTTTTTATTGGTCTATTAGATTATTCTTTCTTTTCTTCTTTATGAGTCTAGCTAGCAGTCTATTTTATTAATTTTTTCTAAAAATCAGCTCCTGGATTCATTTTTTTTGAGGATTTTTTTTTATGTCTTCATCTCTTTCAGTTCCATTCTGGTCTTATTTTCCTCTTTCTTCTGCTAGCCTTTGGAATTCTTTTGCTCATGCTTCCCTAGTTCTTTTAGTTGTGATGTTAGGGTGTCATTTTGAGCTCTTTCCTGCTTTCTGATGAGGGCATTTAGTGCTATAAACTTCCCTCTTAGCATTGCTTCAGCTGCATCCCAAAGATTTTACTACATTGTCTTTTTGTTCTCATTGGTTTCAAAGAACTCCTTGATTTCTGTCTTAATTTCATTATTTATCCAGGAGTCATTCTGGAGCAGGTTGTTCAATTTCCATGTACTTATGTGGTTTTGAGTGAGTTTCTTAGACTTGAGTTCTAATTTGATTATGCTGTGGTCTGAGAGACTGTTTCTTATGATTTCAACTCTTTTGTATTTGCTGAGGAGTGTTTTATTACCAATTATATAATCTATTTTAGAGTAAGTGCTATGTGGCACTGGGAAAAATGTGTATTATTTTGTTTTGTGCTGGTGAGTTCTGTAGATGCCCTCTCTCACCACTCCTTTTCAACATAGTATTGGAAGTTCTGGCCAGGCCATTCAGGCAAGAGAAAGAAATAAAGTGTATTCAAATCAGAAGAGAGGAAGTCAAATTATCTCTATTTGCAGATGGCATAATCCTATGCCTAGAAATCCCCATTGTCTCAGCCCAAAAGCTCCTTAAGCTGATAAGCAACTTCTGCAAAGTCTCAGGATATAAAATCAATGTGCAAAAATCAGAAGCATTCTTATATAGCAACAATAGACAGACAGAGAGCCAACTCATGAATGAGCGTTCATTTATGATTGCTACAAAGAAAATAAAATACCCAGGAATATAGCTAAGAATCTATTCAAGAAGAACTACAAACCACTGTTCAAGGAAATAAGAGAAGACACAAACAAATGGAAAAATATTTCATGCTCATGGATAGAAAGAATCAATATCATGAAAATGGCCATACTGCTCAATGTCTGCTATTCCATGATATTCCCATCAAACTACCATTGACATTTTTCACAGAATTAGAAAAAACTACTTTAAAATTCCAGTGGAATGAAAAAGAAGCCCATATAGCCAAGTTAATCCTAAGCAGAAAGAACAAAGCTGGAGGCATCACACTACCCAACTTCAAACTTTACTACAAGGCTACAGTAACCAAAATAGCATGGCACTGGTACAAAAACAGACACATAGACCAATGGAACAGAACAGAGGTCTCAGAAATAAGAGTGGACATTTATAACCATCTGATCTTCAATAAACCTGACCAAAATAAGCAACAGAGAAAGGAGTCCCTATTTAATAAATGGTGCTGGAAGACTGGCTAGTCATTTGCAGAAAACTGAAACTGGACCTTTATCTTACACCTTATACAAAAATTAGCTCAAGATGGATTAAAGAGTTAAATGTAAAACCCTAAACCATTAAAACCCTAGAAGAAAATCTAGGCAATACCATTCAGGAAATAGGCATGGGCAAAGATTTTAAGATAAAATTGCTGAAAGCAATTGCAACAAGAGCTAAAATTGAAAAATGGAATCCAATTAAACTAAAGAGCTTCTGCATAGCAAAAGAAACTGTCATCAAAGCAAACAGGCAACCAACAGAATGGGAGAAAATTTGCCAGTTGCAGTGGCTCTTGCCTGTAATTCCAGCACTTTGGGAGGCTGAGGCTGGCGGATCATGAGGTCAGGATTTCAAGACTAGCTTGGACAGCATGATGAAACACTGTCTCTACTAAAAATACAAGAAATTAGCCAAGCACAGTGTGACAGATCTGTAGTCATAGCTACTTGGGAGGCTGAGACAGAAGAATTTCTTGAACCTGGCAGGTGGAGGTTTTAGTGAGCCAAGATCACACCACTGCACTCCAGCCTGGGCGAGAGAGTGAGACTCTGAAAAAAAAAAAAAAAAAGGGAGAATATTTTTGCAATCTACCCATCTGACAAAGATCTGATATCCAGAATCTACAAGAAACTTAAAGACATTTAAAAAAAAATCCGATCAAAAAGTAGGCAAAGGACATGAGCCGACACAAATCTATGAAAACAGTTCAACATCACTGATCATTAGAGAAATGCACATCAAAACCACTGTCATCAGAGTGAACAGGCAACCTACAAACTGAAAGAAAATTTTGCAATCTATCCATCTGACAAAGGTCTACTACTCAGAGTCTACAGGAACTTAAACAAATTTACAAGAAAAAACAAACCTATCAAAAAGTGGGCAAAGGATATGAACAGACACTGCTCAGAAGAAGACATTTATGCAGCCAACAAACATATAAAAAAGCTCATCATCACTGGTCATTAGAGAAATGCAATTCAAAATCACATTGAGATACAATCTCATGCCAGTTAGAATGGCAGTCATTAAAAAGTCAGGAAACAACAGATGCTAGTGAGGCTATGGAGAAATAGGAACAGTTTTACACTGTTGATGGGAGTGTAAATTAGTTCAGCCATTGTGGAAGGTAGTGTGGAAAAGACCTAGAACCAGAAATACCATTTTACCAAGAAATCTCATTACTGGGCATATACCCGAAGGATTGTAAATCATTCTATTATAAAGATACATGTACAAGTATGTTTATTGCAGCACTGTTCACAATAGCAAAGAATTGGAACCAACCTAAATGCCCATCAGTGATAGACTGCATAAAGAAAATGTGGCACATATACACCATGGAATGCTATGCAAACATAAAAAAGAATTAGTTCATGTCCTTTGCAGGGAATTGGATGAAGCTGGAGGCCATTATCCTTAGCAAACTAAAACAGGAACTGAAAACAAAACACCACATGTTCTCACTCATAAGTGGTAGCTGAACAATTAGAACACATGGACAAAGGGGATAGGGAGGAACAACACACCCTGGGGCCTGCTGTGGGGGCTGGGGCGACAGAGACCATTAGGACTAATAGCTAATGCATGCGAGGCTTAATACCTAGGTGACAGG